GGTTCTCGGACATCAGCCTTCCACAATACATCAGCATCACTTTCAATCTGAAAGTAAAAGTAAAACATAATCTATTAGCAGTGGCTACAAAAGAGATAAAAGAAGCAGTTAATTCATTTTCTGGGCATTGTTTAACAACTTGCAAAAAACTACTTGCCAGTGAAAAATCAATTGCAGGAAAAAGAGTCGTATACTCGCTTACGCTTCTCCTTTTATCACACCAATGAACTCCCTGCATTGTGAAAATGAAAAATATCAAGAAACATCCTATATTCAAACATCACCAGATACAGGCGAAATACTGTTGGAGGTAGAAATCTCCACAAAATCATGCAATGCATTTAATTGAAGTCCTAATTTATATAGCCACTTGTCCAAGTATAGGGGTGAGAGAGAGAGAGAGAGAGAGAGGTGGATGATGCATCTAAGAAATCCACGTCATTCAAGTAAAAGTTAAAGAAATAACAGCTTTTGTAAAAGTTCCAATCCATCAGAAAGCAGAGAATTAAAAGTCCACTGGAATGTCGGAGCAATTTTGTTTCAAAATTAGTGTAAACCATCAAGTTACTTGCTGAAAATATCATTAAATACCACATTCAATAGGGCATAGCAAAAGGGAAAGCAAACAAGCAAATTAGTTTTGATTAAGAACACAAACATATAAAACCTGCAATTATGCATAAGGTTTATACATAAAGACAAAGGCACACATTTTAGAGCTAGAGGAAGCAAAAAAGAACATATATATACTCAATATCTATGGCTAAAAAAAAATATATCAATAGCAAAGTTCAAACTCCATGGTCAGATAAGTTACATGCTATTGGAGTCTCATACCAAATGTTCTCGACAAAGTTCCACAGCTATGAATGGAGGGCAGTTCAGACTTGAAATTGCTGGTCGGCTACTATTCCCAGCATTTTCAGTCATAAGTGGAGGAACATCTATTCCGTCTTTGTAACTTCCTGCACCAAAAACTCCTACTGCCGTTTGCATAGTCCTACAAAAAAACTAACCGCCGTTATTGAAACTTATTGTCTTCATGTTCAATGCTAAGGCTGCTAGATACCACCAATAGGAGGTATTAATATCCAATATCACCTTTGAAAGTAAAATCATGATACAAATAGGAGGTATTAATTCTTTTGCCCCTTTTCAACGTCTTTTTTCTACTTATCACATCTCAGACATCCATTTTTATCCACTCAAATATATTAATCAACAAGTGCCAGTGCAGGATTCTCAAATGAATTTTCAAATAGCAGCAACTCAGAGACACACAAATGCAAAAAAATGGAAAAATTATAAGGAATTCACCTTTCATGCTCCAGAACGAAGAATAAACAGCTTCAGGTTTTAACGACTAGTACCTTAACAAAGGGGAGCAGATGACTAATTCAATCCTCTTGGACAGTCCAGTTGAATGAACATGCTTACGAAGATTATCTACCTGTTAGAAAGGATGAACCTGTCCTCATCACTAATAATAATAATGCAAAATCTTTTACTCATGAACAGTACAGAAGTTTATTATGGTTAAAAGCATTTTCAATATTTCTATTAAGAACCTTTCTCAAATTCTAAGGCATGGTTCTCTCTAATCATTTAAAAAAGGCAAAAAAAAAAAAAGCAGAAGTCAGATTTTGAGCAAATATTTCTGTCTGATTTTAAAATTGATCTGAAGAATAAAAATAATTACATCAAGCCCAGTAATGTTTCTTTATCTAAAGCCATCCTTAAGACCTTAAGCCAGCAATACTTGCAGATCACATTTCAGAAATTTTACCTGCTTCCAACCCAGAGGTGTGAGTTGGGCATCAAAAAGTTCTGGAGACAAGTATGCACTGTGGTCCTTTTCACCAGCAACATTGTGAAATCCTTGAGCATGCCTTACCTAGAAATTGGAAGGCAAAAATAAATAAGTGAAATTGGAATGCACCAGTACATAGGTGTACACCACTTTCTACATCCAATTTAAGCGAAAAGATCAAATACACCATGTCACATGGCTCGTTATTATGAACTTATGGCTCTAACATGAGGAAGAAAGGACAAACCAGGTGAATAGTTTTGCAGCGGTGTAATGGGTACAAGCCTTGGCCAACAGAGCAATCCATATCTGCAACTGCATTACTACTTCATTAATCGACATTCGTCAGGTAGAGGCCAAAAAGGAAACTAAGAAAATCAGAACAAAGGCCGCCAATTCCCAATCAAGTAGAGAAGCTACGAAACTACTGCAGCATAAGTTGTAAAATCATGATTTACGAGTTTCTAAAACTAAAGCAATCACACAATTATCTCAAAAGTACAAACAAAATTGCGCATTTCAACAGAAATCAGGATTCCAACGCCTAAATCTGCGCATCATCACACAAATAAACCAGGAAAAACCTTCAATTTGTTCGAGTTTCACAACACTTTTCAATTCCCCAAGTCTTGGCATATCATATTCTGCTCTCTTCATATAACTATTTTAACATTCCACAAGAAATTAGTAGCACAATTCATATGGGGTGCAATTGAAAGAAAGAAAAGAAAAGGAAAGAAAAGAGGGACAGACAATTATTGCTTTTCACTTTTGTCTTTATTCCCAGATTCCTCAGGTAATAAGGCTGAAATATGCAACGCAAGAATATCACCAATCCAACAGAAAGAGAAAAAAGAATGCAGAGAAAATCTTACCGGGCAGAGAGGATGAAATGAATGGTACGGCTCCAAAAGACGAGGGGGACTCGGAAACTGCTGGCGCTGTTTATTTATTTCTAAATATGGGAATTTCTGTTTCAGAGTATTGGAAGAAATGAAACTGAGACCACTCGGGCTTTCTGGAGGTGCTACAACTATTGGTATTGGGGCCACTGTTAAAACTTAAAAGGGGGTCCCCAACTCCCAACGCTAAACAAATGTTCGTAGCCAATAATAATATCAACGTACGGCAAACGGATCCGGATTGGGGTGTCCTGTCCTCCTATGTTATGTTATAGAAAGCTGCTACTTCTACTTTCGTTGTACTTTCTGCAAGCCATCTCTTTCTTTCATTTCTCTCTCTCTCTCTCACTCTTTTTTTTTTTTTTTTTACGTAAATCTCATATAGACCTATAGTACATGTAACATATAGTATATCATTTGATTCAAAATATATATGTAAAAGTCAAATTTTAAATTAAAATTTTATATAATTATCATTCATCCGATACTACTGATAGTATATACACAGTTAGTGTAAGCAAAATTAATCATTCTATTTTTGCTACCTTTGTTTCCGAAACTGAGAAAAAAGTCGATGCTGATAGTACATACACTGTTAGTATATGTGGTATGTATAATTTCTACATAATTGAGGACTTTTCTTTTTTAATTCACAATACGTATGTTTGATTTGAGGGCTTGAGGTACGTGAACATCTTTTCTTTGTTTACCTTTTTCTTAAACCCAAAAAAAAAAAAAAAGGAATTGCCAGTGCTACAGCAGACTTTACGTTGTTCACCTGAGATAAAGAATGGTAGCATGTATTTTGGCTCTTCCATATTATTCATAATATGGTGTATTTTTTTTTTATTTAAAACTCAACTCGACAAGTGACATCAGCTAACTCTCAAACTCTCCCATTTCTCCTTTTGATTTGTAAGGTTTGGAGTCTTTTTTTTAAGGCAAAACAAAAATGAGTCATTTTGGTTTCTATATATTCAAAACGCAATTGAAAATCTTGATGGCAAAGTAAGTGAGTATCAAATAATTGGCTTGCGGAAAATGAATCTTATATATATAAATACACACACACACACACTTGTGGGTAAGGCACACACTATGATTTTTTTTTAGTATAATTTTTTTTTAGTATAAATGGAAAAGTTCAACCCAAGGCACACACTATGTGTGTGCATATTAAGAAGAAAATAATGAATACATAAATTTTAAAAAGACAAAGGATACCAAATTAATTAGAGGAACAAAGTGTGAGAAAAACTTTATATATACTAGTCCTTTCAGCATACTCTACATGTGTGCTTATTTCAAAAATATATAATTGATTATTTTTTCTACAATAAGTTATTGTTTGTAATATCATCCTAGAGCATATATGTTTTTTTTTTAAAGAAATCTATAAAGCTACTCTTTCTTTTTTTTTTTAGGAAGTTATTGTACTTAAAATAATGATAGAGGAAAAAAAAGCGAACTTGAGTAATTTGAAAACAAACTTTAGAGGGTATTTTTGGTATAATATTAGATGACATAAATTGTTTACACCAAAAAGGATCTTGCTCATATATTGGATAACTTTTTTATACACTGCCCAGTGTATAATTTTTTTTTTTACACTAGCAGTTTTAAATCACGACACATAACATGAATTCAAATTTGAAATTTAAATCATACACATATGGCATACATTCAAAAATATTAGTATAAAAAATCACTACACTATCCGCGCATAAAAAGTTAATTAATGTATGTATGTATGTATCTTGTGTGGCTTTTAACAAACACGTTGGAAGTCTGATTCGAGACTCACATGTTACACTTTTAATAGATCATAAACCACAATGGATCATTGTTAAAATTTTGTGTCTAAAAAAAAAAAAGATTTATATATGAAGAATCATTGGTGCAATTTCCACAGTTTTCATCCGTGCAGGTTCTTGAAGACTGAGGCCAAATCTGGGCTTGGCTTCATGAGCTAAAGCCCGAAGCGAAATAGCTCAAATAATTTGGGCCTCGAGGCTTCTTGTTGCTAAGCTACGAAGTGAAGCGCTTCCATGAGTACAAAAAAGTTGGGTTGAATGACACATTTTGAGGCCGATAACCCAATTGAACCGCAACAAATGGCTGAAATTTTCGAAGGTGTTTAGAAGAAAGCATTGCCAAGGATTTAGAATTTTAGACTTGTAAATTTCACTTTATCTTGTTTTTTTTTTTTTTCTGCAACGATAGATTTTTGTATTGATTGGCAAAAAAACTTAAATGAGCAAAGGCTCAAGGAATTCTATACAAGAGTGTTAGACACACTGAGGATTAATCCATTTCTCATCTTGAAATATGCCTAAAGCATAATCACTAATCACTTCACATCTAGAATCTAAGCTCCTATCTAAGCAAAAAGAGCATTTCTGAAATAAAGACCTGAGGTCGTTAATATCGTCTATCAAAGTAGCCATTTTGATGTCCTTTGCCATCCTTTCCTTTATCATCTTCAATAGCTGGGGGCAGGGGATGTGGACAACAATTTCCTTCCATTGCTGGTGTCTAGCCTTTATAATGGCCATTTTCACAGCTTCTGCAGTAGACTGCATCTGATTCATTGTTTTTCTGTCAATAAGTGCCCAGGCAGCCACCCACTGATTGTTGAAAGTAGATGCAAAAATCCCCATGCCAACTCTGTTGGTTTGGTCTTGCACCTTGGTTGATATTCTGATCTGAATTTCATTCCTTCTTGCCTCCTCCAGATCCTCTTCCTCATCTGCTATTACCGCATCTTCAGTGAATATTTCCTGCTTGCTCTGGACAGCTTTTAGTTCTTGCCATTCCTGTTGAGCCTTTTGGATTGTTTTCCAAGGGTGCCTGTGTTTAGCATTGAACTGCCATTCATTTCTCCTTTTCCAGAGTTGCCAGAGGATGTTCACAGTGAGCTCTATATGCTCCTTTCCTTCTGTCCGGCATGTAGCTTCCAGAAGAGCAGTCCACCAAGCTTGAAAATTCCCTGTCTGTTCCCTTAACCCATCCCATTGTAATGGAGCCATTTTCCACACCTCTTGTGCTTTGCTGCATTGGAAAAACATGTGTTCGATTGACTCTTCTTGTTCACCACAGCCACCGCAGATTGGATCACCTTTGTGTGTTCTTTTAAAAACCAGGCTGTTGACTGGTAATAAACCATGTAGGCACTTCCAAAGGAAATGTTTGATCTTGCTCTTAACGTTCAACCTCCACATCCACTTCCATTGCTTTTCATAGGAACTTGCTATACTAGTTTCCGCCTCATTCTCTCTTCTTCCTTTGTGTTGAACAGTTCCTTTACACAATGCCTTGTAACCTGAGTTGACAGTGTAGATGCCATTGCCGCTATGTATCCAGTAATTGCTATCATCCTTTCCTGATATACTAATAGGAATCTCCAGAATTTCCTCTGCCTCCTTCCGGTTAAAGGTCCTAAACACAAGTGGTATCCTCCATCGAAAGCCACAGATCAACTCCTCTACTCTTGTGATGTTGCAGCTCAGAGGCATCACAGAGGTGACTTTGCCATCCTTATTTCCCGGAATCCATTTGTCCCTCCAAATGTTGGTTGCCTTGCCATTACCTATCTTTTTCCTAGTTCCATTTTGCACAAAATCTCTAACATTCATCAGGCTTTGCCAAATCCACGATGCACACTTAGGAACTTTGCACCTAAAGATTGAGTCCTTATGGCAGTACTTTGCTCTCAAAACCTTACTAACCAATAGGTTTGGTTTGGAAACCAGTCTCCATACCTGTTTGGCTAGCAAGGCTTTGTTAAAATTCTGAAGGTCCTTGAATCCCAATCCTCCCACTTTTTTCTCCTTAGTCAATCTCCCCCATGCACACCAATCCATCTTATTTTTCCCTTCAGCTTCACCCCACCAGTAGTTAGCAAACATGGAAGACACCTCTTTGCAAAGTTTGTTTGGCAGCTTAAAGCAGGACATTGTATAGACTGGCATTGCCATAGACACTGCCTTCAATAATACCTCCTTCCCACCTTGGCTGAGCAGCTTGTTCTTCCAGCTTGCCATTCTCCTGCTAATACTGTCCTTAATGTAGCCAAAAACTTGCTGTTTAGATCTTGTTATCACCATAGGTAGTCCCAGATATCTCCCTTGTGTAGCAACCTGAATTGAGCCTAGACTTTGCCTCACTTCCCTTCTCCTCTGATAATCCACATTACTACTGAAGAACACGGAGGATTTTTCCAGATTGATAGATTGACCAGACCCCATCTCATACCTCCTCAGGATTTGAATAAGTTCACAGGCTTCCTCTCTTTCAGCGTTACAGAATATTAAAGAATCGTCTGCAAAGAATAAGTGAGTTATGCTTGGGCCATTCCTGCTTATCTTCATCCCAGAAATCCTTTTGTTTCCTTCAGCCTGCTTCAATAAATTAGAAAAGCCTTCTGAACATAAAAGGAAAAGATAAGGTGATAGTGGATCACCTTGTCTAATTCCTCTTTCTGGAATTACAAACTCTTTTGGCTCTCCATTAATATTAAAGGAGTATGTGACTGAGGTAAGGCAGCTCCAAATCCATTGCCTCCAAACCATACCGAAGCCCATCTTAGCCATCATGGAATCAAGGAATTTCCACTCCACTCTGTCGTAGGCCTTGGACATGTCAAGTTTCACAGCCATAAAACCACTCTGACCTTGTTTTTTATTTTTCATGTAATGCAAATATTCATGAGACAGAATGACATTGTCAAGGATTTGCCTACCTGGGATAAAAGCTGCTTGATTTTTGCTAATGCAATAGCTTAACACTTCCTTGAGTCTATTGACCAATATTTTTGAAATCACTTTATAAACTACATTACAGAGGCTAATTGGCCTATAGCTCTTCAGATTAGTAGGATTTTGTGTTTTGGGAATGAGAGAAATGACAGTATGATTCCAGGATTTAGGCATATGACTTGAATGGAAAAAAAGCCTAATGGCAGCAATTAAATCTGATTTAACCACATGCCAAAATTTTTGAAAGAACAAAGGAGTCATACCATCTTGACCTGGAGATTTATTAGGATTCATAGAAAAAAGAGCTGTTTTGATTTCCAGTTCATCAACCTCTTTAGTTAGCTTATCATTCATCTCAGAAGTAATATTTATCATTCAATATATCAACATCTTTTTGAACAATTCAATATTTGGGGGGAATACTCAATTGAGCAGTCCACATTTTGGATTGCCCTTAATTTGTTGCAAAAATATATTGTATAATGTGAACTCTTTCCCGCTCTAAATATTTCTTGTAGACAACTTTCTTCATCCTCTGTGGGAAGGAGGTCGGCCATGTTCTCCCTCTCTATCTAATTTCTTGTTTCTTATTTTGTTTAAATAACAGTCTCTCTTAGGTTTTTTCTAGTGGGAATATTCTCTCTCTTAGGATTTTCTGATGACAGTTTAATCTCTCCTAAATTCTTTTAGTAGGAGTTTCGTTCTCTTCTAAAATTTTCTTGTGAGAGTTTTTCTTATTGTTTGTTATTTATCTTATTAGAACTAAGATTCCTTAAAATTTTTTTTATCAGAACCATAAATTCTCAAATCTATCATATCAGGTATAACTTTCTCCTTGGGCCAAATTTGTTTCACATTATGTCTAGTAGTTCAAGACATGCACAAAATCGAACTACAGTGATTCATCCTATTGGAAGATATTTTGGGATTTTATGGTGCTATCTTTTCATTTTTTATATATTTTTTAAAAATTTTCAAATTTAGTGTATCTAAATTGCATATTTGTTACTTTTGTTATTAATGCAGATTTATGAGAATAAATTATGAAATTCTTTTATAGAAACAAATATTTTGTAATGGGAAATTCTCTCTGTTTTCTCTCTATCTCCTCTCTAATTTTTTTACCCTTTGTAAACTAAACATCTTTGTTCATGGAAGGGAGATCAATTCCTGATTGGTCTCCTTCTTTTCCATGGATTTCTTTCTTCATTTTTCATGTTTATAATAAATTATCTCCTAGGATTTTTAATGGAAGTTTCTTCTCTTATAATATTGTCTAATAAAAGTTTTCTCTTGTTTTGGATAGAGATTATTTGTCAAATTTTATTTGTTTTACATTATCAACACATTTTTCAACCACCTTTTTATTTCACATACATCACATAAAAAAGTGCTATAATATTTTTTAAAAAAATTATCCCAAATAATATACTATCCAAACACACTCTTTGTTCTCTCTTAGATATTCTTAGTGAAAGTTTTATGTAGTTTTTCAATTTCTTTATTAGATCTGAGTTTTTTCAAAATTTCTTATCAAATTTAAAATTTCTTAGGTCTATTATACAAATCTTGCATAATATTTGAACATGAAATAATTAATGAGTAGATTTAACTATTGAAAACATGTAGATATAGTTTTGGGACTGCAAGTATTGTAGCTTTTTAAAAAATATATTTAGAGCTTTATAGTGTAAATTTATCTGTTTTTCGGATCTATAGTATCTATTCTTAAGACCTTTAATATCTGTGCATGCTTGATGATATAATTTTTTTGCATTAGTAATATACTTCAATATGGATGTTATATCTATATATATATATATATATATATATTAGAAAAAAGGATTGTGTAACGTAACATTGATATTCTATGCAAAAGAAAACTTTTAATGAAAATGTTAGTTGATATCCATTGTTGTGCAATTAGTTACTTCAGACATTGAAATTTTGATAGAACATTTTTTTTTTAAGAAAATCATTCTCGATCAATCAATTTAGCAATGAACAAGTTGTGCTTATAGAACAAAAAAATAAATAAATAAACAATACGTTTGCTTGTGTTGCAATAAATTAATTCTTATAAAATTATTTTCATCCCTTATCCACCGGCTTGATCAGCCCAAAATTCATAAATAAGTTATTAAGAGTAACCAATTGCCAGAAAGATAATTTGTTACACATATTTTTACTATTGGATCTTTTCTAGATTGAAACTATATTAACTTAAACTACCAAGATACAAGCTACTTTTTTTTTGTCGCAACGATAATATTCCTATAATCTAATCTATCCTAATCTTGGGGGAAGGGGAGTCGATGGGAGTAGAAACTCTATCGAAGAAAGCCACTGAAGGGCAGCCACATATAATGGCAATTTGGTGGCTTGGCGGTGAAGAGCCGGTGGCCACCAAGATACATGCTACTTGATTAGTTCATTTCTGACTCATTTGGCTTTGTAAGGAGGGCATGTGGAATCGACAGACCAATTTATTGCGTCTCTGGCGGCTTCGCAAGTCGTTGCTGCAAGTCCTCGTGTATTACATATCCTTTGAAATCTTACGAAACTAATAATTTAGACTAGAGATTCATCACTGTACTAAAGCTACACCAGAAAAAGATTGCTGGATTGAAAACACTTGCCAGCTAAACTGCTAGCGGAGCATGCCAAAGTATGGAGGAAAAAAATAAATAAAGTTCCAAGTGTGAAAGATTTAACAAATTCTAAACTTATGCAATATTAATATCTTCTTCTTCTTCTTTTTTTGTTTTAGCAAAAATACTAGGGAAATAAAAAGGCAAATCTCTCACCGCGTAGAAAGATTGCAACTTGAACTAATAGATTCATTTTTGGTTGTGAACTAACAGATATTTTTTTCTGATATTATTCTCCATAGTAATTGGGCAACATATTGTAACTATTCTCCAGGTGTCATCATGACAAGGACTCTATCCGGGGTGCAATATTCGATTTGTAGAATACTTAAGTATAATTGGTCTATTAATTTCTCCCTCTTTATTTGGTGTTCATCTGATCATGTAGTTAACAGTCACACGAGTTTTCTTTGCTTTATTTATTATTATTATTATTATACATGATACACCATCAATATTTTTTTTTTCACATTATCATACTTCATTCTTGGAACTAACATGCATTTATAAGCTGTGGAACTGCATGTAAATTCAGTCTACCTTATATTTTCCATTTGATTACAAATGATATTACAAACAGCCCGAGTCACCTGAACAAGAGTTTCTCATTGACAACTTCTGAAGAAAAAAGAAAAATAAAACCTATATAACTCCAAAAATAAAGAAGAAAAAAAAAAGAAGAAGCTATATATAGTTGATCCAAGAACTAATAAAGTTGCATTGCAGTATGCCTTTAAAAAAGGTTGCATTTGACTAGCTAATCTAATGTTGTAACTGAAGGTTATGACACCCTTAAGATCCAGTACTAAAATAATAGACCACCATTAATGTCTTAATTGGAGGTAACTAATTACTCGTTTAGTTCCAGTTTACAAGTGTCTACGGAATTCCAACGAACTGTATAACGTGAAATATTGATCATATTGCCTTTGCGAGTTTGCATTATTCTAATGCGAGGATCTTAATTTTATAGCTAGTGGATTATCTAATTAATAACACGACTCCCAGGTTCCCAAAATTTTTTAACCAAAAAAGAAAAAGAAAATCTTGGATGTTGATTTCCTTGACAAAGAAAATTAACGTTGTCCATCATCACTGGGCACTTTCCTATTCACAAATGAAGGGCTTAACTTATTGGTGGTGGATATAATGTATTAGACCCTGTCTGTATATATACAGATTATTGGTCAAGAAACTAATAGTATCTTGACGTAGGCAATGACTTCATAAGTTTCTCATGTTAATTAACTATTGTTTTGTTTCGGAAAAAAATGATAAAAAGAAAAGAAAAGAAAAGAAAAAGGCCCTTTGTTAGTTCTGAGCTTCAAATTCGAGAAATATGTACTTATTTCAGCTACAGCACTTTTCTCCTTCCTTCTCTTCTTCAGTCAATTTATCACTGCTTAAAAATTTCTGGATCAAGTGCAGCTCTGCTTCTTGTAATCTAGACACGTGAAAACGTTTAAGCTCTAAAGTTTTCCGATAAGTATTCCAGAGTGCTATTCTGATACTCTTTGCTAACTGTAATATATATATATATATATATATATCCTAAAAGACTATATATATATCAATGTAGTTCTTGTATATTGCTTTGCTTTATCTTCAACCGTCAAATATACTCTACTATGAAGGTCCGAAATATTGTTAAACAGATCAATAGCTCCTTTTAAAATCGATTGGATGGCGTTTTTTTGCATATCAGTTTGGTGCCAAGTTGATTGCATTGTCATACGAATTAAGCCATTACATGTCTATTGCATTAAGGTCATGATATATCTGTACACCAGAGAAAGTTTCTTGCATACCTTTTGAGTTTTTTTTTTTATTTTTTTTTATGGGGAACTCGAATTGACTAATATGTATAGTAGGTAAAATATATAATAGGTGTTTGCAAGAAACTTTTTGGAGTGAGTAGACATGTATCACTCCCTTTACATTGGTTATGTGGCTTACATTGAACTCTTAATTAGAATGTAAGACAAATTATGTGAGTACTAAATCTAGACTAAAACAGAAACATATTGAATTAGTACAAGATACTTTAAGAACTAAACTAAAATCAGATTCAATCTTGAAAATTTCAAACGAAAAAAAAGGGAAAGAATTAAGCATTTTGCTTTGGCTTGGCAACAAATATTGACATTTATATGTCGAACTAAATCAGTCGTGCCAAAATAAGGTATGTTACTCAAGTAAAATAAGGTACATTGTGGTGGGCAGGAAGAACTGCTTATGAGCTATCAGAGCTTTTGATGGCAGATGGCATATACATCGAACGTAGCCAAGTTTTTGTAGTCTTCAGAAGAAACAAGTGGGGCTGCTTAGTTGATATTTCAATCTATTTGTTAGGATCAAATTGCACACTTTAATCGACTCGAAATCTCGACTTGATATGGAGTTAGTGTTCTTCTGATAAGGTCCCCACTGTAATTTGACTTCAAAATAGCGTTCTTCATTTCATTGCTCAAAGATGCCCCGTTTTGCATGGAAAAGTACATCTTTTTTTTTCGAGCAACATGGATGGATGGACGGACGGAAAATTACATATTAAAACTCTTTTTTTTTTTTCAATTACACATTCAAGCTTTGTCCTCTACGGATATACGATGGAAGAGGAGTGCTGGTTAGGGTTTTCAATTTCCAAGATACTGTGAATGCTGACCTAAAAATCTGATTCTGCATTAGAAGATCTTGTCGGTG